ATAGTATCGACTATTGTCTGGTCTATAGTCTCCACTATAGACTTGTCTATAGTCTATAGTTTCGACTATTGTCTAGTCTAAAGTTTCGATTATAGTCTAGTTTATAGTCTATAGTTTCGACTATTGTCTAGCCTATAGTCTCGACTATAGTCTGGTCTATAGACTCGACTATAATCTAGTCTATAATATCAATTATTGCTTGGTCTACAGTCTCGTCTATAATATGGTATACGGACTGAACTGACCTATAATCTCGACTATAATATGGTCTATAGTCTCGACTATAGTTTGGTCTATAGTCTGGTCTATAGTTTTGACTATAGTCTGGTCTATAGACTAGTCTATAGTCTTGATTATAGTCTGGTTCAGAATCTCGACTATATATGGTCTATAGTGTGGTACATATTTAGGCTAAACTAGTCTCTAATCTTGACTTCAGGTTTATAATATCGACTATAGCCTGGTCTTTAATCTGCTCTATAATTTCAGTTAGACTCTGGTATTGATTATTATAGTCTACTTTATAGTCTGGTATTTTGTCTCTACTAGGGTCTGCTCCATAAACTCGGCTATAGTTTGATCGACAATCTTCCCTATAGTATCATCTATTATCTGGTCTCTCGCTTATAGTGTAATCTGGTCTATTGTCTCTTATTTCGTCTATTGTCGAGTTTCGACTATAATTTTGTCTTTAGCCTAGATTATAAACTACACTACTGTCTTAACTATAGTCTGTTTGTTCTAGACTCTTGACTATATAATTACTTTTATAAATATATTTAATTTTTGTCTTAAAATAAGTACTAAAACAAATCTTAATTCATTTATAAATAAGTTTCAACAAAAAAAAAAAGTTATAAAAATGTGCAAATATTTATGTGGAAAAAAATATGAAAAAAATCACGTTTTCTAAATTTATGCAACTCATAATAATGAATTTATTTATTTTTGTAAAAAAAAAACAACAACAAACCTAAAACAAAAATAAACATTTAAAAAATATATTTAAAAAAAATCATTGTTTTTATTTCTTCATATTTTTAGCACTAATTTTACTTAAATTTTTCTTTTTTAATTTATTTTCTTTTTTTCCTTTATTATCATTTTGCATTAAAGAAAAACAAATAAAATTTTTATTAAAATTTTTTGTTGCTTTATTTTTCTAAAAGAAATTCTTAGAATTTTTACTTAAGTCATGACATAAATTTATACATTTCACTTGTGTACTAAAAATTATTATATATATTTTTGTTTTTGTAGTTGTTTTTTTTTCGAAATTTACATGTCTACTTTTTTTAAACATGCATGACTCTCTCAAAGGTGTAGATTCTTAAAAATATTATTGACGTTGTTGACACTTGAGTGTAGAAAAAGTGTAGGCTGATTTTTGTTTTTTTCTCTCGGTTATGATAAAAAACAGAATGTCTTTGAGTTTCAGGTGTTTTAGAAAGAAATGGAAGTCACAATGTAGCGTTTTTTTAGAAAGGGAATTTTTAGTAAAAATTCGGATTTTGCATTAAAAACAGAAAAATCTCGTTTTAGTGAAAAATTGGTTTTTTAATGAAAATTCTAATTGTAAATGAAAAATGGATTTTTTTTTTGTGAAAAAATCACATTAGTATTGAAAATTTGGATTTTTAGAAAAACATTGAAATTTTAGTGAAAAATCTGATAAGACGATATGGTAGGTTATACTACTCGAAACTATCTATAGGCGAGATTAGAGAGACATTAGTTCAGACTACACTATAAGCGTGTCTTCAGAGCAGATAATAGATGATACTATAGTGAAGATTGTAGACCTAAATATAGTGGAGTTTATAGAGCAGTCCCTAGTCGAGACAATATACCAGACAATAATCGAGACTATAAATTAGACTATAATCAATATTAAAAATCAGACTCCTACCGAGATTATAGAGCAGATTAAAGTCAATAATATAGTCGAGATTATAATCCAGACTAAAGTCAAGATCATAGACTAGTTCAGGCTATATACCGGACTACATACTATATAGTCGAGATTATAAACCAGACTATTGTCGAGATTAAAGACTAACATACAGACCAGACTATAGTCGAAACTATAGACCAAATTATAGTGCAGACTATAGACCAAACTATAGTCAAGACTATAGACCAGATTATGGTCGAGATTATAGATCGGTTCAGTCTATATACCAGACTATATACCAGATAATTGTCGATATATAGGCTAGACTATAGACTAGACTACAGTCGAAACTATAGACTAGACTATAGTCGAGACTATAGACTAGACTATAGTCGAAACTTTAGACTAGACTTTAGTCGAAACTACAGACAAGACTATAGTGGTAACTATATACTATAGGCCAGGCAATAGACGAGACTCTAGACCAGGCAATAGTCGAGACTATAGACCAGACTATAGTCGAGACTATAGACCAAACTATAGTCGAGACTATATACCAGACTATAGTCGAGACTTTAGTTGAAACTACAAACGAGACTATAGTCGTAACTATATACTATAGACCAGACAATAGACGAGACTCTAGACCTGGCAATAGTCGAGACTATAGACTAGACTATAGTCGAGGCTATAGTCGAGACTATAGACCAGACTATAGTCGAGACTTTAGTCGAGACTATAGTCGAGACTATAGACCAGACTATAGTCGAGACTTTAGTCGAAACTATAGACGAGACTATATACTATAGACCAGACAATAGACGAGACTCTAGACCTGGCAATAGTCGAGACTATAGACCAAACTATAGTCGAGACTATATACCAGACTATAGTCGAGACTTTAGTTGAAACTACAAACGAGACTATAGTCGTAACTATATACTATAGACCAGACAATAGACGAGACTCTAGACCTGGCAATAGTCGAGACTATAGACTAGACTATAGTCGAGGCTATAGTCGAGACTATAGACCAGACTATAGTCGAGACTTTAGTCGAGACTATAGTCGAGACTATAGACCAGACTATAGTCGAGACTTTAGTCGAAACTATAGACGAGACTATATACTATAGACCAGGCAATAGTCGAGACTATAGACCAGACTATAGTCGAGACTATAGACCAAACTATAGTCGAGACTATATACCAGACTATAGTCGAGACTTTAGTTGAAACTACAAACGAGACTATAGTCGTAACTATATACTATAGACCAGACAATAGACGAGACTCTAGACCTGGCAATAGTCGAGACTATAGACTAGACTATAGTCGAGGCTATAGTCGAGACTATAGACCAGACTATAGTCGAGACTTTAGTCGAGACTATAGTCGAGACTATAGACCAGACTATAGTCGAGACTTTAGTCGAAACTATAGACGAGACTATATACTATAGACCAGACAATAGACGAGACTCTAGACCTGGCAATAGTCGAGACTATAGACCGGACTATAGTCGAGACTATAGACTAGACTATAGTCGAGACTTTCGTCGAAACTACAGACGAGACTATAGTCGTAACTATATACTATAGACCAGACAATAGACGAGACTCTAGACCTGGCAATAGTCGAGACTATACCCCAGACTATAGTTAAGACTATAGAGCTAATTTTGTAAAAAATTTGATTTTTACTGAAAAATTGGATTTATAATGAAAAGTAGCTTGAGATCAATCTGTTTTTTCCTAGTAAATTTGCTTGTGATCAAGCCGGTATTCATCTAGAAAGGTTTCATGTGATCCAGCAGGTTTTCGTCTAGAAAAGTCGCATATGATCATGTTGGTTTTTGTATAGAAATGTTGCTTGTGATCAAGTTGGCTTTCACCTAGAAGAGTTGCTTGTGATCAAGCTGATTTTTATCTAGAAAAGTTACATGTGATCAGTTTTTGATCATGTTGGTTTTTATCTAAAAAGTTGCTTGTGATCAATATGGATTTTACCTAGAGAAGTTGCTTATAATCAAGCTAAAGGTTTTCTAGTAAAGTTGCATGTGATCAAGCTAGTTTTCATGTAGAAAAGTTGCATGTGATCAATCTGGTTTTTGTCTTGGAAAATTGCTTGTGATCACGCTGGTTTTCATCTAGAAAAGTTGCTTGTGATCAATCTGGTTTTCGTTTAGAAAAGTTGCTAGTGATCATTATGGTTTTTGTCTAGAAAACTTTTTTGTGATCAATCTAGTTTTTCCTATAAATGTTGCTTGTGATCAAGACGGTTTGAATTTAGAAAAGTTGCTTAGAAATGTTGCTTGTAATGAAGCTTATTTTCTTGTGATCAAAGGAGTTGTTGTATAGAAAAAATTGCTTATGTTCAAATTAGTTTTGGTATAGAAATCTGACTGCTTAGTTCAATTCTTCAGTTGTCAACACTGTTTTTAAGCAGCATGACCAAAGTGAAAAAAAAACACAATAAAAAACCTAGCAAAACAAATCAAATAAAATTGTATTTATTCTGTAGTTGTTATTGTTGCTTTCTATTATAATAGAATCAATACAACTACTTTTAACTGTAAACCAACTAATAAATGAGTAAAAATTAGCTCTTTTCTTCTTATAATTGCTCTCCCATTCTCTCTAAAGACGTTTTATACGTGTAAATGTTTTCCTATAGAATTCTATAACTCATACGTATGGTTGAACGTTTCTATGAACATGTATGAGTATTTTTATAGAGTATGAGTGTTTGTCTTTGAATTTCTATTATTTTGACGTTTTTTATCATTTGATGTTAGCGTTTTTTTTTTATTCTCTAGCCAGCAGTTGACTGGTAGACTTTTGCGATTTTGTAAATGATTGAATCAAAACGAAATTAAACGAACGAGCGAACGAACGTCAAGCTAAGCAACGTGTGTGTTGTATGAAAATTAAGAAGAAAAAAAGACGCCGGAATTGAAATTTAAATTGAATATTTTAAAACGAAAAAAAAACGGGAAAATTTTCAAACGAATAAATCTTAAAAAAAAAATAAAGTGAAAATTTTAAAATCTAAAAAAATCTTACAAGAATATTAAAAAACAATTAAATAAAAATAAAAGAATTAAAAATTAAATAATAAAAACGACAAAAAACCACCATAAAACGACAAAAATTTTAATGATTTTTTTCTTTAACAAATAAATCTTCAAAATAAATTAATATTAATTAAGCACACGAGTTATAATAAAAAAAAAAAACGAAAATATTTTTAAAAAATTTCTAAAGGTATTAAAAACGGAGTAAACAAAACTTAGATATTTTAATGAAAACAATAAATTATAGAATCATCGTAGCAGCTAAACTTGTTGGTTTAAAAAAAAAAATATATATAAATCTTAAAAATTTTATACAACTTAATCAAAACAGATTTGTTGTGTTTATTTCTTATTGAAGAAAAAATTTACGACAAAAAAAAAAAAAAATAAATATAAAAGATATTTTTATAAATATTATTATCAGATGTATGTAAGATGCTGATGTATAAATAAAAGAAACAGCAGTTATGGAAAAGAATAAAATCTTAAAAAGTTTTCACAAAAAAAATTTCATGATAAAATTTTACTGAAATATAAATAAATGTTCGAATTTCCAACTAAACTGTAGATAAACTTTCGTACAGATATGTTGATTGTGATCAAAGTGGTTTTCATCTAGAATTTTGCATGCGATCATGCTGGTTTTTGTCTTGGAAAGTTGCTTGTGATCATGTTTTGTTCAACTAGAAGAGTTGCCTGTGATCAAGCTGGTTTTCATTTAGAAATTTTTTTTGTGCTCAAGCTGGTTTTTGTTTAGAAAAGTTGCTTGGGATCAAATTGGTTATTGACGTAAAAGTTGCTTCTAATAAAGCTGATTATTGACCTGAAAAATTGCTTCTAATCAAGTTGGTTTTCGTCTAGAATTTAGCTTGCGATCCAGCTAATTTTCATCTTGTAAAAGTTGCTTGTGATCATGCTGAGTTTTGTCCAGAAAAGTTGCTTGGAATCAAGCTGAGTTTTTGTCTAGAAAAGTTGCTTAGAATCAAGCTGGTTTTCATCTTGAAAAGTTGCTTGTGATTCAGCTGGTTTTCATCATGAAAAGTTAAAAGCATCTTTTCAAGCTGATTTTTTGTCTAGAAAAGTTGCTTGTGATACAGCTTGTTTTCGTCTTGAAAAGTTGCTTCTGATCAAGCTGGTATTTGTAGAGAACAATTGCTTTTAATCAAGCTGGTTTTCGTCTAGAATTTAGCTTGCGATCAAGCTAGTTTTGTATCTTGGAAAGTTGCTTGTGATCAAGCTGAGTTTTGTACAGAAAAGTTGCTTGGAATTAAGATGGTTTCATCTTGAAAAGTTGCTTGTAATCAAGCTGGTTTTCATCTTGAAAAGTTACAAGCAACTTTTCAAGCTGGTTTTTTGTCTAGAAAAGTTGCTTGTGATTCAGATTGTTTTCGTCTTGAAAAGTTGCTTGTGATCCAGCTGGGTTTCATCTTGAAAAGGTGCTTGCGATCAAGCTGATTTTCATCATAAAAAGTTACTTGTATTCCACTTGAAAAGTTGCTTGTAATAAAGCTGTTTTTTTCTAGAAAAGTTGCTTGTGATTCAGATTGTTTTCATCTTGAAAGGGTGCTTGTGATCAAGCTGGTTTTTGTAGAGAACAGCTGCTTGTGATACAGCTGGTTTTCATCTTCAAAAGGTGCTTGTGATCAAACTGGTTTTTGTCTGATAAAATTGCTTGTGATCAAGCTGGTTTTCATCATGAAAAGTTGCTTGTGATCAAGCTGGTTTTTGTCTAGAAAAGTTGCTTGTGATTCAGATTGTTTTCATCTTGAAAAGGTGCTTGTGATCCAGCTGGTTTTCATCTTGAAAAGTTGCTTGTGATAAAGCTGGTTTTTTGTCTAGAAAAGTTGCTTGTGATCTAGCTGGTTTTCATCTTGAAAAGTGGCTTGTGATAATGCTGGTTTTTTGTCTAAAAAAGTTGCTTGTGATCAACCTGTTTTTTGTCTAAAAAAGTTGCTTGTGAACTAGATTGTTTTCATCTTGACAAGGTGCTTGTTATCAAGCTGGTTTTGTCTCGGAAAGTTGCTTGTAATCAAGATGGTTTTCATCATGAGAAGTTGCTTGTGATCCAGCTGGTTATCATCTTGAAAAGTTGCTAGTGATCAAGCTAGTTATCGTCTAAAATTTTGCTTGCGATCAAACTGCTTTTCATGTTGAAAAGTTGCTTGTGATTAAGCTGGTTTTCATTTTGGAAAGTTGCTTGTGTTCGTCATGAAAAGTTATAATAAAAAAAAAAACGAAAATATTTTTAAAAAATTTCTAAAGGTATTAAAAACGGAGTAAACAAAACTTAGATATTTTAATGAAAACAATAAATTATAGAATCATCGTAGCAGCTAAACTTGTTGGTTTAAAAAAAATATATATAAATCTTAAAAATTTTATACAACTTAATCAAAACAGATTTGTTGTGTTTATTTCTTATTGAAGAAAAAATTTACGACAAAAAAAAAAAAAAAAATAAATATAAAAGATATTTTTATAAATATTATTATCAGATGTATGTAAGATGCTGATGTATAAATAAAAGAAACAGCAGTTATGGAAAAGAATAAAATCTTAAAAAGTTTTCACAAAAAAAATTTCATGATAAAATTTTACTGAAATATAAATAAATGTTCGAATTTCCAACTAAACTGTAGATAAACTTTCGTACAGATATGTTGATTGTGATCAAAGTGGTTTTCATCTAGAATTTTGCATGCGATCATGCTGGTTTTTGTCTTGGAAAGTTGCTTGTGATCATGTTTTGTTCAACTAGAAGAGTTGCCTGTGATCAAGCTGGTTTTCATTTAGAAATTTTTTTTGTGCTCAAGCTGGTTTTTGTTTAGAAAAGTTGCTTGGGATCAAATTGGTTATTGACGTAAAAGTTGCTTCTAATAAAGCTGATTATTGACCTGAAAAATTGCTTCTAATCAAGTTGGTTTTCGTCTAGAATTTAGCTTGCGATCCAGCTAATTTTCATCTTGTAAAAGTTGCTTGTGATCATGCTGAGTTTTGTCCAGAAAAGTTGCTTGGAATCAAGCTGAGTTTTTGTCTAGAAAAGTTGCTTAGAATCAAGCTGGTTTTCATCTTGAAAAGTTGCTTGTGATTCAGCTGGTTTTCATCATGAAAAGTTAAAAGCATCTTTTCAAGCTGATTTTTTGTCTAGAAAAGTTGCTTGTGATACAGCTTGTTTTCGTCTTGAAAAGTTGCTTCTGATCAAGCTGGTATTTGTAGAGAACAATTGCTTTTAATCAAGCTGGTTTTCGTCTAGAATTTAGCTTGCGATCAAGCTAGTTTTGTATCTTGGAAAGTTGCTTGTGATCAAGCTGAGTTTTGTACAGAAAAGTTGCTTGGAATTAAGATGGTTTCATCTTGAAAAGTTGCTTGTAATCAAGCTGGTTTTCATCTTGAAAAGTTACAAGCAACTTTTCAAGCTGGTTTTTTGTCTAGAAAAGTTGCTTGTGATTCAGATTGTTTTCGTCTTGAAAAGTTGCTTGTGATCCAGCTGGGTTTCATCTTGAAAAGGTGCTTGCGATCAAGCTGATTTTCATCATAAAAAGTTACTTGTATTCCACTTGAAAAGTTGCTTGTAATAAAGCTGTTTTTTTCTAGAAAAGTTGCTTGTGATTCAGATTGTTTTCATCTTGAAAGGGTGCTTGTGATCAAGCTGGTTTTTGTAGAGAACAGCTGCTTGTGATACAGCTGGTTTTCATCTTCAAAAGGTGCTTGTGATCAAGCTGGTTTTTGTCTGATAAAATTTCTTGTGATCAAGCTGGTTTTCATCATGAAAAGTTGCTTGTGATCAAGCTGGTTTTTGTCTAGAAAAGTTGCTTGTGATTCAGATTGTTTTCATCTTGAAAAGGTGCTTGTGATCCAGCTGGTTTTCATCTTGAAAAGTTGCTTGTGATAAAGCTGGTTTTTTGTCTAGAAAAGTTGCTTGTGATCTAGCTGGTTTTCATCTTGAAAAGTGGCTTGTGATAATGCTGGTTTTTTGTCTAAAAAAGTTGCTTGTGATCAACCTGTTTTTTGTCTAAAAAAGTTGCTTGTGAACTAGATTGTTTTCATCTTGACAAGGTGCTTGTTATCAAGCTGGTTTTGTCTCGGAAAGTTGCTTGTAATCAAGATGGTTTTCATCATGAGAAGTTGCTTGTGATCCAGCTGGTTATCATCTTGAAAAGTTGCTAGTGATCAAGCTAGTTATCGTCTAAAATTTTGCTTGCGATCAAACTGCTTTTCATGTTGAAAAGTTGCTTGTGATTAAGCTGGTTTTCATTTTGGAAAGTTGCTTGTGTTCGTCATGAAAAGTTGCTTGTGATTTAAACTGATTTTTATTTAGAAAACTTGCTTGTGATCACGTTGGTTATTACCTAGAAAAATTGGTTGCGATCAAGATAATTTCTTTTAGCAAAATTGCTTGTGATTATGCTGATATAGGTCGACATCTAGAGGATCTTTAACTTTAGTTTTCTTATTGAAAAGTTTCTAGTATTTGTCGGCTAATTATCCTATAGAAAACGCTACATTTACCACACTGTTGTTGTTAATTAAAAACATTCATTAGATTCTTGTCCATTAATTTCCGCTTAACGTAAAGCGTTTTTTTTTTTTTTTGCATTATTTTGCTCATCAATTGAAATGTTACTAATTTAAATGTTTAAAATTTTTTCTTAAAATATTTAAAAAATTACAATAATTAATTGAAAAACACAACAGCAGATTTATAGAACCACTTAAAAATGCAAAAAAAAAAATCGAACAATTTAAATATATAAAAAAAACAAAACAAATGTTAGCAAACAATATAAAATAAAAATAAATTAATTAAAATTTGTTTAAAAGGGAAAATATGAAAAAAAAAATAATTAAAATTATCTTTAAGTAGTTATAGCTCTCCATATAGGAAAACAGACAGTTGAACAGAAATTTTTAAAAATACCAACAGAGAGATAGATATGGCAAATAAATACAATTGCACACCTTTTGAATTGAAACAAAAAAACAAATTGAAATGATAGAACAACAACAACAACAGACTAAAAGAATGAAACCCCACTGAACATAAATACGTTACTCTCTAGTTTAGTTGGAAATTCACATTGAACGCGTTAAAACCTTGAGAGACAACTATATAGCTAAACAAACAGGGAAAAGAAAGAAGCATAAATAATTTTAAAAATCAAGTGTAGTTTAAGCCAGGGGATTAAAAATAAATTAAATATTGTTAAAAAATTAAAAAAATATATTTAATAAAGTTATTAATAAATTTACTCAATTTATTTTTTACGAATTTGTTTAATTAAAGAGTTTTCTAGAGTCCCACATATAATCGAGTGATAACAAAACAAAATAAAAAACGCTATAAAAAAGTATTAAAAAATATAAGAAAATTCAACAAAACCCTAAAAAAGTAAAAAAACTAAATAAACAACAAAAGAAATTATTAATTAATAATAAAAAAGTATAAAATTATAAGTTAAATAATACCTCACCAAAAAAAAGACATACATGTTAGGCATAATTTATTAAACAAAAACCAAAATAATAATAGAAAAATTAATGAAAATTTGTAAACAAAAACATTAAGAGTTTTAACTTCAATCTTCAATATTTCAAAACAGTATTTGAAACAAAGTTAAAAAAAACTTCTTTGAAAAACTAAGTAACATCTACTACTGTTCAGGTTAGTTTTAAAATAAAATCGCCAAAACAAAAACATCTCTATAGTTCTAAGAATTATTATTAAAAACGCCCACATTTTATTTCGAAAATTGTCATTTTAAGTTTTGTGCATATAAAAGGCGCCAAATTTTTTTGGTCACATAAAGATTCATGAGTACAATTTTAATCTTCCTGATTCATTTTAAAGCAGTTTTTGTATATATGTTAAGCCCTGGCACAGTGGGGTAGAATGCTAAAATTTTGCTAATATGTTTTTCCAAGGCAACACCAAAGCAACAACTCTATCTATAGAAAAGTTGCCTGTAATAAGGCAACTCTTACTATAGAAATGTTGCTTGTTCATACTAAGGCAACTCTTTCTATAGAAAATCTACTAAAGCAACTCTTTGTATAGAAAAGTTGCTTGTACTAAGGGAACTCTTCCTATAGAAAAGTTGCTTGTACTAAGGCAACTCTTTCTATAGACAAGTTTCTTGTACTAGGGCAACACTTTCTATAGAAAAAATACTTGTACCAAAGCAACTCTATCTGTAGAAAAGTTGCTTGTACTAAAACAACTCTTTCTATAGACAAGTTTCTTGTACTAGGGCAACACTTTCTATAGAAAAGTTACTTGTAGCAAAGCAACTCTATCTATGGAAGAGTTGCTTAAACTAAAGCAACTCTTTGTATAAAAAAGTTGCTTTAACTAAAGCAACTCTTTCTACTGAAGAGTTTCTTGTACAAAAGCAGCTTTATCTATATAAAAGTTGCTTCAACTAAATCAACTCTTTGTATAGAAAAGTTGCTTAAACTAAAGCAACTCTTTCTAGAGAAAAGTTGCTTAAACTAAAGCAACTCTTTCCAGAGAAAAGTTGCTTAAACTAAAGCAACTTTTTCTATAGAAAAGCTGCTTATACTTTTTCTATAGAAAAGTTTCCAACTCTTTCAAAAGAAAAGTTGAAAGGTCAATCTTTCTATAGAAAAGCTACTTGTATCCAATCAACTCTAAATATCTATGGAGAAGTTGCTTAAACTAAAGCAACTCTTTCTACAGAAAAGTTTCTTGTACGAAAGCATGTTTATCTATATAAAAGTTGCTTAAACTAAAAAAAACAGTTTTTATAGAAAAATTGCTTGTACTAAGGCAATTCTTTCTTTGGAAAAGTTACTTGTACCAAAGCAACTCTTTCTATTGAAAAGTTGCTTGTACTAAGGCAACTCTTTCTATAGAAAAATTGCTTGTACCAAAGCAACGCTTTCTATTGAAAAGTTGCTTGTACTAAAGCAACTCTTTCTGTAGAAAAATTGCTTTTACTAAGGCAACTCTTTCTATGTAAAAGTTGCTTGTACTAAAGCAACTCTTTCTATAGAAAAGTTGCTTGTACTAAAGCAACTATTTCCATAGAAAAGTTGCTTAAACTATAGAAATTCTTTCTAGAGAAAAGTTGCTTTAAAATTGGATACACTAAAGCAACTGTTTTTTAGAAAAGGGTTTTGTACCAAAGCAACTTCTTCCATAGAAAAGATGCACGAAACAAAGCAACTTCTTCTTAGAAAAATTACTTGAAACAAAATAACTTCTTCTATGGAAAAAATTCCATGAAACTAAGCAACTTCTTCTATACAAAAGTTGCTTGAAACAATGTAGCTTCTACTACAAAGATGTAGCTTGAAAGCGAGCAACTTTTTCTGTAGAAATGTTGCTTGAAAGCAAGCAACTTTTTCTGTATAAATGTCGTTTAAAAGAAAGCTACTTTTTCCTTAAAAAAAGTTGTTTGAGAGAAAAAAAGTTGCTTGAAGGAAAGCAGATTTTTCCATTAAAAGAAGTTGCTTCAAACAAAGCAACTTTATCTCTAGAATGGATGGCTGCATCAAAGCAAAGTTGCTTTTAAATGACCTTCAACGTCAACCACTGCTGTCAACCTTACCCAATTCATCTTCATTAGCATTTGCGCAAATCTATAACATGTTCAAATATAATTTTCTTTAGAAAATTTTAAAATACTTGAAAATTTCTTAAGAAACATGCCAAAATCTTGTTTAAAATACTTACATATATACAAACAAACACATTTCCCTATAACAACGTGCTTACATTTAAATTAAAATACTATTTAAATAGAAAGAAAAAAAGAATAAACAAACACAATAAATAAAAACAAAATTTAATTTTGGGAAATTCTAAATTTATTTCAAATTTTTGACCAAACAAGCCATCAAACGTCAACAATCTATTTTTAAACACCAAGACATGTGCAGAATTTTGAAATAATAATTATCATTAACGAACAAATAAAAACAACATCAAATGAATGAAATGTCATAAAATTGCAAAAACATAAATTATGTTTCTATTCTGTTTCGGACAGTCGAATCAAAAGAAGCAGCAACAGTTTAAAGTGTCAAAAATATAAAACTGAGTCATTGAACTGTTTGTTTTTATATTATTGGTGCGTGTGTTTGCTAACGCATAAAATTAAAGTTTAATAAGAAAAATTGTTGTTGTTTTTATGAGGAATTATCATCATTGATATTTTATGAAATTGATTAAATTTTAAAGAGAGTGTGAAAAAAGGGTGAGAGAGGGAATGCGAAAGATTTATATTTAGCTGGAGCTGTCAAATATATTTAGTTTAGAAATACATTTGAGTATTTCGGAATTAAAAAGATTAAATGAACACTATTATTAGGTTAGTAATAATACTGATTCAAATTCAATTCGGTAATTCGTCCTAAATTTTGCAAAAAGGTGCTTCTAAAAGTCGACTTTGCTGTTAATTTTTAGTTTTTATTAATCTATTTTTTAGTTTACTTAATAAATATTGACACATGAACGCAAAAAATTGATTTATTGTGGAAAATGTGTTTAACAAATGTTATGGCGCAAAATACGAGGGTTGAGCAAAAAATTTTATTTAACAGCTACAGTTGTTTTGATTTAATCAATATTTCTACTACTTTTCAATAGAAAAATTTGTTTCCTATAAAAGTTTTAGTTCAGTTCTTGTTCAGTTCTAGTTCAGTTCTAGTTCAGTTCTAGTTCAGTTCTAGTTCTAGTTTAGTTCTAGTTCAGTTCTAGTTCAGTTCTAGTTCAGATCTAGTTCTGTTCTATTTCAGTTCAAGTTCAGTTCTAGTTCAGTTCTAGTTCAGTTCTAGTTCAGTTCTAGTTCATTTCTAGTTCATTTCTAGTTCAGTTCTAGTTCAGTTCTAGTCAGTTCTAGTTCAGTTCTAGTTCAGTTCTAGTTCAGTTCTAGTTCAGTTCTAGTTCAGTTCTAGTTCTAGTTCGTTCTAGTTCAGTTCTAGTTCAGTTCTAGTTCAGTTCTAGTTCAGTTCTAGTTCAGTTCAGTTCTAGTTCAGTTCTAGTTCAGTTCTAGTTCAGTTCTAGTTCAGTTCTAGTTCAGTTCTAGTTCAGTTCTAGTTCAGTTCTAGTTCAGTTCTAGTTCAGTTCTAGTTCAGTTCTAGTTCAGTTCTAGTTCAGTTCTAGTTCAGTTCTAGTTCAGTTCTAGTTCAGTTCTAGTTCAGTTCTAGTTCAGTTCTAGTTCAGTTCTAGTTCAGTTCTAGTTCAGTTCTAGTTCAGTTCTAGTTCAGTTCTAGTTCAGTTCTAGTTCAGTTCTAGTTCAGTTCTAGTTCAGTTCTAGTTCAGTTCTAGTTCAGTTCTAGTTCAGTTCTAGTTCAGTTCTAGTTCAGTTCTAGTTCAGTTCTAGTTCAGTTCTAGTTCAGTTCTAGTTCAGTTCTAGTTCAGTTCTAGTTCAGTTCTAGTTCAGTTCTAGTTCAGTTCTAGTTCAGTTCTAGTTCAGTTCTAGTTCAGTTCTAGTTCAGTTCTAGTTCAGTTCTAGTTCAGTTCTAGTTCTAGTTCTAGTTCAGTTCTAGTTCAGTTCTAGTTCAGTTCTAGTTCAGTTCTAGTTCAGTTCTAGTTCAGTTCTAGTTCAGTTCTAGTTCAGTTCTAGCTCAGTTCTAGTTCAGTTCTAGTTCAGTTCTAGTTCAGTTCTAGTTCAGTTCTAGTTCAGTTCTAGTTCAGTTCTAGTTCTAGTTCAGTTCTAGTTCAGTTCTACTTCAGTTCTAGTTCAGTTCTAGTTCAGTTCTAGTTCAGCTCTAGTTCAGTTCTAGTTCAGTTCTAGTTCAGTTCTAGTTCAGTTCTAGTTCAGTTCTAGTGCTAGTTCAGTTCTAGCTTCTTGGTAGAAATGTTATAGGCAACCCTCGTTAAAGTGCCGTTAAATTATTTTCTTTAGATAAGAACGGAGAGAATAATGAGAACTACTTCATTTTTGTATGTGAAGTGGTGTCGAGCGTTAAGAAAACCTCTCAAACTATTTTCTTTTAAACATTCAGTTTATTGGTATTTTCAGTTAACACAATATTTCTAAAACGTACTAAAAATTTAAAGAATTTTTAAAAAATTCGAAAATTTTGAATAAAAAACAAAAAAATAGCTTATTTAAAAAAATTGGTAAGATCCCACAAATTTAAAGCCAAAACATCATTTATTATTTTTTTATTAATTTGTGGCTAAAACTGATAAAAAATATTGTTTAACTGATAACAACAGTCTCACCCGACGAAAAAAAGTAAACAGCAGAACAAAACAATATAAAGCAGAAAAGAATAAATGATTGAACAAAGCGTGGAGAAGAAAAAACAATATTGTTAATTTAAAAAAAAATATTGCCAACAAGTTTATCTAAAAAATTCACACACCTATACCAAGCCAAAAAAAAAACTGCTAAAGACAAGTGGAGACATAGATACTGGCATGTTCTTAAAGAAACAGACAGACAGATATAAATTTTTAAAATATACAGCAATAAATTAAATGAAGATTTGTACTTTTTTGTTCGGGTTTATTGACAAAATGTTATTATTATTTAAACATAATGACAAAATTGCTAAGAAATATAACGAATTTTCTTGAATATTCTTAAAGGGAATTTTTAGTTTATGGGCCCTCTATTAAAGGGGCCTTTTATACTATTTCAATTAAGAGATTTTAATAATTTTTATCTTTTGTCTATTCTCTTGTAGGTCGTTAATAGCAGTACAACAACACGTGTTGAAAAGAAATCACGTTTACATCACATTACGTCCTCTTCCTCCTCATCGTCCTCTTCATCCACCTCCACAGAAATGAAAGCGGCAGCACTGAAACGCGATATGAGCGAATTTAAAAATTCCATGTCAGAAATCAATGATTTGGCCTTGGGCCGCAATAACACACCCGCCCTAACGGGATCAACGGGGACCTTAAGTCATCAGCCACCCTCCATTAACGATCTCAGCAATTTAAATGCCCTCAATAGTTCAGATGCCATAAATAAACTTAAGAAAAAGTAAGTTTTCAAAAAAATTTACATTAACAAACATTTTAATAAAACCACTCTCTTCCCTTTCCGCACAGATTACGCTCCTCTCTGGAGAATATTGTTGATGGCAATAGTGAACCTCATATAACATTTCCCGATGATCATGAACACGATGACGATCATATGAATTTAGATATGGATTTAGTGAAAGCCTCCAACCAATTGGCAGCAAATGGTTTGAGCGGTTCGAAGGGCACACTAGTTGACACCGTGAAGTTCGAGGAGAAACGCACTAAAACAGAATCAAAAACGAAAGTAGTGGCGGATGGTTTTAGTTCGGAACAGGCCACTAGTAATTTGGCCGAAAGCAAACGTTTACAGACAGGTGATATTGATTATCAACAAGCTAAGGCGGCGGCTGCCTCGAGAAATCGCATGGAGGTTGATGGTGTTAAGACAGAGGAAAATGCTGCTGTTATACATGTAAGTGGAATATCAAAAATATTTTTTTTATGTTTTGAAAAAGGTCTGTTAGGAAAAATTTTGAAAATTTTATGAGAAAAATTGCATTTTCAATGGTTTAATCCAATTTTAAATAAATTTTTAAAATGGATTGTTAAAATAAAAATTTGAGTTCTAGTGAATTTTTAAATTTTTTATAAATATTTTCATTTTTAAAACTGAACTAGAATTGAACTAGTACTAGAACTGAACTAGAACTGAACTAGAACTGAACTAGAACTGAACTAGAACTGAACTAGAACTGAACTAGAACTGAACTAGAACTGAACTAGAACTCAACTAGAACTCAACTAGAACTCAACTAGAACTCAACTAGAACTCAACTAGAACTGAACTAGAACTCAACTAGAACTCAACTAGAACTCAACTAGAACTCAACTAGAACTCAACTAGAACTCAACTAGAACTCAACTAGAACTGAACTAGAACTGAACTAGAACTGAACTAGAACTGAACTAGAACTGAACTAGAACTGAACTAGAACTGAACTAGAACTGAACTAGAACTGAACTAGAACTGAACTAGAACTGAACTAGAACTGAACTAGAACTGAACTAGAACTGAACTAGAACTGAACTAGAACTGAACTAGAACTGAACTAGAACTGAACTAGAACTGAACTAGAACTGAACTAGAACTGAACTAGAACTGAACTAGAACTGAACTAGAACTGAACTAGAACTGAACTAGAACTGAACTAGAACTGAACTAGAACTGAACTAGAACTGAACTAGAACTGAACTAGAACTGAACTAGAACTGAACTAGAACTTAACTAGAACTGAACTAGAACTGAACTAGAACTGAACTAGAACTGAACTAGAACTGAACTAGAACTGAACTAGAACTGAACTAGAACTGAACTAGAACTGAACTAGAACTCAACTAGAACTCAACTAGAACTCAACTAGAACTCAACTAGGACTCAACTAGGACTCAACTAGAACTGAACTAGAACTCAACAGGAACTCAACTAGAACTCAACTAGAACTCAACTAGAACTCAACTAGAACTCAACTAGAACTCAACTAGAACTCAACTAGGACTGAACTAGAACTCAACTAGAACTCAACTGGAACTCAACTAGAACTCAACTAGAACTCAACTAGAACTCAACTAGAACTCAACTAGAACTCAACTAGAACTCAACTAGAACTCAACTAGGACTGAACTAGAACTCAACTAGAACTCAACTGGAACTCAACTAGAACTCAACTAGAACTCAACTAGAACTCAACTAGAACTCAACTAGAACTCAACTAGAACTCAACTAGAGCTCAACTAGAACTGAACTAGGACTTAAAAAGAACTGCACTAGAACTGAAGTATAACTGAGCTAGAACAGAACTCTACAGTAGAGTCCAAACTTTACAAAAATGTATATTGCAAGCATCCTGTTTGTATGCACACTAAAATACAGGGTGTCAATTCAAACAGCTCAAATCTGATAAAACTTTTAAAAGAACCCGCCACAAATATAGAACTTTTTCTAAAGTTCCATGGGCATAAAATGAAATTCATAAGCTCCATTACGAAGCTTTTTGTAATATATTTATGAGCTTTTTCACTGCTTTTTCCCCCAAAATCAGTAGCAATTTTCCCATTCAAATCTAATAAACAACTGATAATGATGCAATTTTCAATTTAGATCTGTTCAATCACCGGTAGTCTATGCAAAAATTTATTATTATCTTTATGAGGGGATAATCTAAGTTATTTATATGAAAATAAACAAATAATAAAAACATTACAATAAATTCCTTTGATAACCGCTAAATATTTCACTTTCAATCATCCTAAAAAACCTTAACCCATATGGAAGCGTTTTTTAAAAGCAAAGTTCAAATTACCAGCAAACTATAGTGAAAATTACGTCATTTTTACAGCGCACACCAATATTAGATTAACAACTTAATACAATAACTAATATTTTCCTTTATTTAGTAAATAAATTATAAATTTCTATGGAATTCACATGTAGATATGGGAAATCCACAAATTTTTCATATACATACATATTTGAAGACAGAGAGAAAAAGCTAAGGAGAAGAGCTAACGACATAATTCTTGGTTGTTTTGTTTAAATGTTTTAGCAACTGTGAAATTATTATAAAATAATATAATTTTAGAGGAATTTTTCTAGTATTCATGACTTTTAGTTTACTAAATATGTTATGCTTTTTATTTTAATAAACTCCTTAGGATGTGCTACAAGTTGTTTACACTTGAAAATATTTACAAAAGATAACTTTTAAAGATGTAATTTAGTTATCCTTTAATTTTAGTATTTTTTAAGCATAGTTTTACTTTAATGTCGAAATTGTCTAGATTGAAGGGCAGCAAAGACAGAACTAGTTACATGCTTGTTTACTGGTGTATAGGAGTACTTTATATAAGCTACATTAATATTGAATCTAAACTAGAACTGACTTAGAAATGAAGAAGAACTGAACTAGAAGTGAACTAGAACTGAACTAGAACTGAAACTAGCACTGAACTAGAACTGAACGAGAACTGAACTAGAACTGAACTAGAACTGAACTAGAACTGAACTAGAACTGACACTGAACTAGAACTGAACTAGAACGAACTAGAACTGAACTGTGAACTAGAACTGAACTAGAACTGAAAGACTAACTAGAACATGAAATACAAACTGAACTAGAACTAGACACTAGAATAAACTGAACTTGAACGAACTAGAACCAGAACTGAACTAGAATAACTGAACTGAACGATGAACTAGAACTAACTAGAACTGAACTAGAACTGAACTGAAAACTAGAACTGAACTGAGAACTGAACGAACTAGAATGAACTGCTGAACTAGAATGAACTGAACGACTAAATGAACTAGACTGAACTAGAACTGAACTAGAACTGAACTAGAACTGAACTAGAACTGAACTAGAACTGAACTAGAACTGAACTAGAACTGAAACTAGAACTGAACTAGAACTGAACTAGAACTGAACTAGAATGAACTAGAACTGAACTAGAACTGAAACTAGAACTGAACTAGAAACTGAACTAGAACTGAACTAGAACTGACTAGAACTGAACTAGAACTGAACTAGAACTGAACTAGAACTGAACTAGAACTGAACTAGAAACTGAACTAGAACTGAACTAGAACTGAACTAGAACTGAACTAGAACTGAACTAGAACTGAACTAGAACTGAACTAGAATGAACTAGAACTGAACTAGAACTGAACTAGAACTGAACTAGAACTGAACTAGAACTGAACTAGAACTGAACTAGAACTGAACTAGAACTGAACTAGAACTGAACTAGAACTGAACTAGAACTGAACTAGAACTGAACTAGAACTGAACTAGAACTGAACTAGAACTGAACTAGAACTGAACTAGAACTGAACTAGAACTGAACTAGAACTGAACTAGAACTGAACTAGAACTGAACTAGAACTGAACTAGAACTGAACTAGACTGAACTAGAACTGAACTAGAACTGAACTAGAACTGAACTAGAACTGAACTAGAACTGAACTAGAACTGAACTAGAACTGAACTAAACTAGAACTGAACTAGCTGAACTAAAACTGAACTAGAACTGAACTAAAACTGACTGGAACTGAACTAGAACTGAACTAAAACTGAACTAGAACTGAACTAGAACTGAACTAGAACTGAACTAGAACTGAACTAGAACTGAACTAGAACTGAACTAGAACTGACTAGAACTGAACTAGAACTGAACTAGAACTGAACTAGAACTGAACTAGAACTGAACTAGAACTGAACTAGAACTGAACTAGAACTGAACTAGAACTGAACTAGAACTGAACTAGAACTGAAATAAACTGAACTAGAACTGAACTAGAACTGACTAGAACTCAATTAGCTGAACTGAACTAGAACTGAACTAGGACTGAACTAAACTGAACTAGAACTGAACTAAACTGAACTAGAACTGAACTGAAACTGAACTAGAGCTGAACTAGAACTGAACTAGAACTGAACTAGAACTGAACTAGAACTGAACTAGAACTGAACTAGAACTGAACTAGAACTGAACTAGAACTGAACTAGAACTGAACTAGAACTGAACTAGAACTGAACTAGAACTAAACTAGAACTAAACTAGAACTGAACTAGAACTGAACTAGAACAAAAACTGAAGTAGGACTAAAGTAAACTAGAAATAGAACTAAACTTGAACTAGAATTGAACTAGAACTGATTTAAAACTGAACTATAACTGTAATGTAATGATTCCTAATTAAAAAATTCCTTTTTTTTCAACTAAAAAAACTTCTTACATCTCCCTAGAGATTAATGTACATTAACACTTCGAGCTGGGTATTTCCAACTATCACTATTGACTCACTAATAATGTGATTGGTGGGTCGTTAGGCAGTCTCATTGTTATCGCCCGTTTACAAAAAGGGAGTGTAATAAAAAAAATTATAATATTACTACAAGTATTTGCAAGTTCTTTGTTAGTAGTTTTTTTCGTTGCCTCAATAACACAAATTTTGCTAAAACACGCAACGCCCTAAACAGTAGTAAGTAGTAGTCTTCGATAAACCGGCGGCTAACCAACAGTTCCAAAGCAGTACAATCCTAACAACCAAATAACACAGCTAAACACGCAATCTAAGGATTTTGTGTTATTTATTTTCGTTGACAATAAATTATAGCGACAACATTTAGTGAAGAAAAAATGTCCTTAACGAGTAATAAAGATCCTTTAAAACTAAAAATTCCTTTATAAAAGTCATGCTTGGAAAAATTTTTTTTTGTGAAAAAAGTGAAAATTTTTATGTGAATAAAGAAAAAGCACTTAAATCAAACTAAAATAAAAAATCCTTTAACGTCATGCCAACTTATTGATTTTTCTTTGTTTGACGCTCTTGCTCTCTTTAACTGGTTATTTTAAAAGAGAGTTGTTTATTTGAAAAGGATTCACAAAGGACATATTTATTACTTTTCTTTTG